GTATGCATGTCTATTTAAGCTGGATTTTGGGTTTTTATCCTGTTCTTTCCCTATTTTAAGGCTTTTTCTTTTTTTGCATGTCCAATTCCATCTTCCTCGTGATCGCCACTGGTGCGTAGGGCCACTTAAGCTTTCAAATGACTAAAATTGCATTCAATTTGCTGAGCCCGGCAGGATCCCTTCTTGTCTATGACCTGTGATTCTAACAACCTGCAGGAAACCACGGGGGGTTTTCTTAAGAGCTTTCTGAAGCCAGCAGATAGAATAGACAAGGTTTTTTTTTCTCCCCGTGCAGTGTTCTTGCAGCAACCAGACACACCAGCAGACCATTTTGTGTCCTTGCTGCTAAATACATATATAAATATGTCCTTTAATACATATCTGCTATTTCTCCAACAAAGCAAACTTAGATCCCTTCCTAATCTTTCTGTAGGTATCTACATAGTGCATGGGGTCAAAGAACAATCCACTGCAACTGATAGAGTTGTACAAGGAAATTCCTGTAGATCGGATCTGATACAGGTAGTCCTCAACTTATGTCCGAATTGAGCCAAAATTTCTGTTGCTAAGCAAGACATTTGTAAAGTGAGTTTTGCCCAGTTTTGCAACCCTTCTTGCCACAGTTGTTAAGTGAATCACTGCAACTGTTAAGTTAGTAACATGGTTATTAAGTGAATCTGTCTTCCCTATGGACTTTGCTTGTCAGAAGGTCACAAAAGGGGATCACATGATCCCGGGGACATTGCAACCATCATAAATATGAGTCAGTTGCCAAGCGCCTGAATTTTGATCACATGACTGCAGGGATGCTGCTACAATCATGTGAAAAATGGTCATAAATCATTTTTTTCAGTGCCGTTGTAACGTCGAACGATCATTAAACGAAAGATTATAAACCAATTTTGGGCTGGCATAGGCAGAAGCCAGTTAGAGTCTTGGTTTTCCCAACCAGTTCCATTTCATGCAGTGGTTTCATTCCACTCTGAGCAGCTCAATCATTTCAGGGAAGGTTGAGGAAATAAATCTCATCAAATTTCCTTCTTCCCCAACCTAGATGGCCCTTCTATCAAAATTGCCTGCAAGTATTATTTTGTAATTTGTCATCTTTCTGCAGTTCCGCCTCGTGAAACCATAGAGAAAGGGATGGAATCTTGATTTTGTAAGCACCCTGAATTTAAAAACTTCCCTTAGCCCCCAAACACCTACTCTTAGTTTTATTTGCTTTGCCATCCTTTATTCCCCCAAAACCAAAAAATTGCAGCATTGGTTTAACCATCCTCAAAAGAGAGTCACATTTCTGGTGCTTCAGAATTCATTCTCCACTAAAATATACAGCTGATTCCTGCTATTTGCAGATTCCATATTGATGAATTTTCCCACTCCTTAACATTTATTTGTACCCACAAAGTCAATACTTGCAATCTTTTGTAGACAAGCAAAGCAGTGAAAAAATTGAGTTCACTCGACATGTACGCTGAAGTTTCAGTATTCGCTAATTCAGTGTTTGTGGTAACTTTATAGGACGTTAACTACCGTGAATAACGAGAATTGACTGTGCATATTTTAAAAATGTCTCTCAGTTTTCATGCAGACATTTTTAAATACATTAGCCAAGCGATTCAGATGGCAGACGAAATGCATTTAAGCTGGGGCGTAGCTAGAAGTGAGCAAAGTTAGATTTGACATGCAATTCACCCCTACTTTGCAAATTCGAATAAATTTGGTATCCAGAAAATTTCCACTCCTCATTCTACATTTGGATTAATGAGCCATTCCAGATTTGTTAATTTTACCTTTGGTGCAATTTCTCAAAATGCATCTTATTTCTAAACATTGCGGTCTAAATGCTCAAGGTAATGGTATTCATAATATTTTGCCTGTAGAGTTTCCTGAAAATAAGCACCACCTTGTTTGATCAGAGAGAAAAACCTTGTAATGATAGTTACAAGTAAATTACAGGCATGCAATTAGACTATTGCTAGTTCTAATGATCTTAAATTAAAATTATGAATAAATACATTCAGGGCAACATCAAAAACAATTTTGTTTGGGTGCAATATACTTCAGCGAGAATTAAATCAGTGGAATCTCTTTTGATGTTTCCGCATAAGACAGCAAATAAGGAGCTGTTGCAAAATGTTTATATAAAATCAAGGGCTGGTTTTGATATGAGGTGCAAAGGAAATAGTCCAAATTAAATCTCAGCTGGGAATACTTCAGAGTTTGGTATTTGAGTTGACATTAATTCCAATGTTTCACCCTGAAGCAGGCTGACTTAGATGTCCATTTAAAAAAAAAATAGAATTCTTTTAAGGAGGGTGAGCTGTAGCATCAGCTACGGTTTGAATTAGTTGATATGGAAGATCTAACCTTGATTGGGATGTTATCAATATATCCAGCTGGTTCAGTTTAGTGGTTTCATTTATCCAGTGGAGGAAAAATTTTAAAATTTCAAAAACTAAGCAGGGAATGGTCAGAAATGGGTTTTCCTCCCGAAAAACATACCTCCTTCCCCTCGGGGTGCTTAAAAAAATTAACACACTGCTTAAATGAAATTAAGGCTTAAATTGAGGCTTAAGTGAAAGAATGGTTGCTGGAATTGGGTATGTCTAGTTTAATTAAAAGAAGGACTAAGGATGACATGATAGCAGTCTTCCAGTATCTGAGGGGCTGCCACAAAGAAGAGGGAGGAGGGTCAGCCTATTCTCCAGAGCACCTGAAGGCAGGACAAGAAGCAAAGGATGGAAACTATTCAAGGAGAGAAGCAACCTAGAACTAAGGAGAAACTTCCTAACAGTGAGGATAATTAACCGGTGGAACGACTTGCCTCCAGAAGTTGTGGGTGCTTCATCACTGGAGGTTTTTAAGAACAGACTGGACAATCACTTATCTGAAATGGTACAGGGTCTCCTGCTTGAGCAGGGGGTTGGACTAGAAGACCTCCAAGGTCCCTTCCGACTCTGTTATTCTGTCATTCTGTTAAACTAAAAAATCACGACAATCAAAGTGGAAGTGATATTGCAGCTTTTCCTTGACCAATAGCGTTTCCCATTCCACCTATTTTCTGAGCATAGAAACAACCAAAACAATGATGTTTGGGGAATCTATTTTTATTAGACTGTTTGTGTGTTAATTAAGGGAGGGGAAGGAAGCATGTTCCTTAATTAAAGT